GATGTGTGTGTGTGTGTGTGTGTGCGTGTGTGTGCGTGTGTGCGTGTGTGCACCTGCTCTGTCTTCTCCATCCCCAGTGAGTCGTGGTGGATAGCTGCTTATACTGAGCCAGGATCCTCTGGAGGTTTCTTCCTGTTAACTCATTCACTGCCAATGACGACTAAAGTCGTCATTTGCATTTATTTACTGTTTGAGCATCAGAACGAGCCCCCGCGCTGAGAGAACAAACATCTCAGCCCTGAAGCCGATCTTCATCCGCATACGTCACACGTCACATGATCAGGAAGCAGACCATCCATGTATTAGGAGATCGTTTTGGGCCGTTCCTGTAAAAAAGTTAGGCGTGAACCGGAAAAGCGTCTGCCCATCACAATTCAACAACGGATTATGAAAGAACGGATAACGCTCGAAACTCACGGATTCTTCCTGATGTAAGAGGTGAGTCTCCGCTTTGTTTTGGTTGTTTTGGCATCGACATCATGCTAGCGCGCAACGTTCTGTGACTCTTAAAAAAACAGTAAAAACGGTGAGAAACGCTGGCAGCGAAGGCCGTTAGTGATCAGGAAATGGCTGGCAGTGAATGAGTTAAAAGGGAGTTTTCCTTTCAATTCAATTCAAGTTTGTTTATATAGCGCCAAATCACGACTAGAGTCGTTTCAAGGCACTTCTTATAATAAACATTCCAATTCAGGTCAGTTCATTAAGCCAATCAGAAATAATGTTTCCTATATAAGGAACCCAGCAAATTGCATCAAGTCACTGACTAGTGTCAGTGACTTGATGCAATCCTCATACTAAACAAGCATAAAGCGACAGTGCATAAAGCATGCTTGCTTAGTATGAAGATTGCTGTAAAGACTCTGACACTAGTCAGTGACTTGATGTGACCTGCTGGGTTCATTATATAAGAAACTTGTTACTGATCGGCTTAATGACATGACCTGTACTGGAATGTTTACTGTGTGAAGGTCCTTGAGACGACTCTGGTCCTGATTTTGCGCTTTATAAATAAACTTGAATGTCTACAACACTATTAGATACTCATTTATACAGTTTATCAGCCAAAAGAATAGTTGGTTTGGGTGTTACTTGCTCTTTAAAGCAATAATATTACTGTTAAATGTGTGAATAGAACGTTACAGCATTCAGTAATTCACTGTGTTTCTGTTTTTCCTACAGGTGTTAAAATAATGGCGCTGGTTAAAGAAGAAGCTCATGAAGAACAGAGTGCTGGTGAGGACCAGCAGGAACCAGAACACCTTCACATAAAGGAGGAACAGGACGACCTCTGGACCAGTCTGGAGAGAGAGCAGCTACATTTGAAGGAGACTGATGCTGCCAGATTTCTATTCACTGCTGGTTCTATAAAGAGTGAGGATGATGAAGAAAAACCTCTCGTCTCACAGCTTCATCAGCAGCAAACAGAAGACCGAGATGTTCCAGCGAGCAGCTCAGCTGACCATGTGACAGCAGAAATGACAAGTCATTTAGCAACAAGGTCTTCAGGCTGTTGTGCTAGTAAGGAATGTGTTATAGTGAAGCAACATGCAGACTCATGTAGGGAAGTCCAGAAAAAGACTAAAACGTTAAGTTGTGATCACTGTGGAAAAGAATTTATGGTTAAATCAAGTTTAAACAGTCACATGAGAATCCACTCAGGAGTAAAGCCGTTTGCATGTGAGCTGTGTGGAAAAGGATTTAACCGAAAGACAGATTTAAACAGACACACGAGAGTCCACACAGGACAGAAGCCTTTTGCCTGTGAGCTGTGTGGACAAAGATTTTGTTATAAGACAAGTTTAAACAGTCATATGAGTGCCCACACAGGACAGAAGCCTTTTGTCTGTGAGCTGTGTGGAAAAAGATTTACCCGAAAGACAACTTTAAACAGTCACATGAGAATCCACACAGGAGAGAAGCCTTTTGCCTGTGAGCTATGTGGTCAAAAATTTAGTCATAAGACACATTTAAAAGATCATATGAGAACCCACACAGGAAAGAAGCCTTTTGCCTGTGAGCTATGTGGACAAAAATTGAACCGAAAGACAACTTTAAACAGTCACATGAGAATCCACACAGGACAGAAGCCTTTTGCCTGTGAGCTGTGTGGTCAAAAATTTAGTCATAAGACACATTTAAAAGATCATATGAGAACCCACACAGGACAGAAGCCTTTTGCCTGTGAGCTATGTGGACAAAAATTTAACCGAAAGACGACTTTAAACAGACACATAAGAATCCACACAGGACAGACGCCTTTTTCCTGTGAGCTCTGTGGAAAAAGATTTGCCCGAAAGACGACTTTAAACAGTCACATGAGAATCCACACAAGACAGAAACCTTTTGCCTGTGAGCTCTGTGGACAAGAATTTAGTCATAAGACACATTTAAAAGATCATATGAGAACCCACACAGGACAGAAGCCTTTTGCCTGTGAGCTATGTGGACAAAAATTTAACCGAAAGACAACTTTAAACAGACACATAAGAATCCACACAGGACAGACGCCTTTTTCCTGTGAGGTCTGTGGAAAAAGTTTTACCCGAAAGACAACTTTAAACAGTCACATGAGAATCCACACAGGACAGAAGCCTTTTGCCTGTGGGCTCTGTGGACAAAGATTTAGTCATAAGACAAGTTTAAATGGTCACATGAGTGTCCACACTGGACAGAAACCTTTTGCCTGTGAGCTCTGTGGAAAAATCTTTTGTCATAAGACAAGTTTAAACTATCACATGAGTGTCCACACTGGACCTAAACCTTTTGCCTGTGGGCACTGTGGACAAAGATTTAACTATAAGACAAGTTTAAACAAACACATAAGAATCCACACAGGGCTGAAGCCTTTTGCCTGTGAGCTGTGTGGACAAAGATTTAATCATAAGCTGAGTTTAAAAGGTCACATGAGTGTCCACACTGGACAGAAACCTTTTGCTTGTGAGCTATGTGGACAAAGATTTAACCAAAAGACAACTTTAAGTTGTCACATGAGAATCCACACAGGACAGAAACCTTTTGCCTGTGAGCTCTGTGGAAAAAAATTTAACCAAAAGACAGATTTAAACAGACACACAAGAGTCCACACAGGACAGAAGCCTTTTGCCTGTGAGCTCTGTGGGCAAAGATTTCGTTATAAGACAAGTTTAAACAATCATATGAGTGTCCACACAGGACAGAAGCCTTTTGCCTGTGAGCTGTGTGGAAAAGGCTTTAACCGAAAGACCGATTTAAACAGACACACGAGAGTCCACACAGGACAGAAGCCTTTTATATGTGAGCTCTGTGGACAAGGATTTAGTCAAAAGAAAAGTTTAAACAATCACACGAGTGTCCACCCTGGTCAGAAGCTTTTTGGTTGTGTAACATGATGTAAGTGGTTACTTTTAATAGATGATCAATAAGATATGATATTCCATATAAATATGAAATATCAATATTATTGATATTTTGAAATTTTATCTAAAATTAAACCAGGTCATTTTGGTAGTTCGTGGAAATCACACCTTTGTAAAATTTTGAGACCGAGCGAAAAATAGTTTCTAAAAACTAACTTAATACTACATTTCTACTACTGTGTGGGTGACGGTGGCACAGGAGTAAAGTGCTCACCCCGTAATTGAAAGGTTGCAGGTTCGAGCCCCCGCTCAGTCTGTCGCTGTCGTTGTGTCCTTGGGCAAGACACTTAACTCACCTTGCCTGCTGGTGGTGGTCGGAGGGACGGGTGGCGCCAGTGCTCGGCAGCCTCGCCTCTGTCAGTGCGCCCCTGGGCAGCTGTGGCTACATCATAGCTCATCCCCGCCAGCGTGTGAATGTGTGTGTGAATGGGTGAATGACTGATTGTGTTGTAAAGCGCCTTGGGGGTTTCCAGGACTCTAGAAGGCGCTATATCAAATACAGGCAATGTACCATTTACTAATGATGACACGGAACAAATGATGATAAATTATGGTTGAAACAAGATAACTGGGACAATGAATGAAATGATGGAATGTGTACTTAGATGTTATGTAGCAAAACCAAGTGTCTTAGAAAATTGTGATATCTGGGTTGTAAAATAAGTGTGAATGTATGGTTTAACAATCTCAATAAAAAAAACATCCCACGCCAGTTGTGCAGAATCTACGAGTCCTTGTGGTGAAGGCTGCCGGTGATCCAGCGGTCGGAGAAGTTGATACAAACAGCCAGTAGAGTTGACTTCTGTGGTATTTGGAGCACATAGTTTCACCCCAAAAACCAAACCGCTGTTCTGAGATACCTTCCAGGTGAGTGCTGGAAGCTGGTGTAACAATTTTGCAACTGCACAATAATTTCAGACTTCCTCATCTGATGTGGAGAGACCAGCTTGTCTGAGCGTAGCCTTTAGGAGGCGGATCTCAAGTCTGGCCTTGGTTTGCTGCAGTGTGGTCAGAGTCCGTTGTTCCTCTGCCAGACGAAGCTGTGCTTCTGCCCTGTCAGTCTCTTTTTGCTGAAGTGCCTTGTAACCATCATCTTTGTTTGATGAAGGGCGCTTCAAGCCTTTCCTCTGAGATCCTGTGGAAACGACCACTGGCTCAACCAATGAGAAACCAGCTGCTTCCTCATGAACAGAGCTGAGATTCAATATATATACGCTCTCTGGATCAGTAGGCCTGTACTGAAAGGCTGAATACGTTAAAGCCTACTTAATCACTGTAGCCTGATGGAAGAACAAATAAAACTAAAACCTTATGAATATATAGGATATCTTGTAAAATACTGCATGATCCATATATAGTATTATTTGATACTAGGGGTGGGCCTTTATCGGCGTTAACATGCTGCGGCAAAGTCAGACAACAAATGACGCCATTAATATATTCTCAAAGTTGGGTTGGGATCTGGGTCGTCTATACTAAGCTTGATGACTTTCACATTGCGCGCATGGATACCTCTGTGGCGCGGATGTATACTCAGCCTAGATCATCGACATAAAGCACAGATGCCTACATGCAAAAGAGAACATCTTTAATGCCAGAGGAATCTTCAAATGTGACGCACCGACATGGATGCACCTATGAAGCCGCTCGGTTTGCTCCAGGGAAAATTTATTTTTAAGAAGCTTCCCAATGGAAACCTTGACAAGACTAAAGTTGTTTGCACCTTGTGCAATGCGGAATTTGTTTACTGTAGAAGTTCTTCCAGTCTCAAGTAACACCTAAACGCTAAGCATCCCTTAGCTAATTGGAAGATGCTGGACCACGTGTTGCGCAGGGGAAGAGTTTTCGTCAAACTACTATGTTTGAGTGCAACCGAGGCAAGCCCATCAGTGCAGCTCTATCAAGTAAGCTCACTGATCTCCTAGCTCATTGGGTTGCCACGAGCTGCCGATCCATCAGCGTGGTCGAAGATGATGGGCTCGAGCTTGTTCTCCAGGCAGCCACAGGTGACTCATCCTACAAACTACCTGCGAGGCGAACAATCGTGAGGAAAATACATGACCAGCATGCAACAGAGAATGCCGCGAAAGATGAGAAGTTGGTGAAGGCAACTTGTGTTGCACTGACTGGGGACCATTGGACATCTGTCAGTAATGATAACTACCTCGGTGTTACTGCACACCTCATCGATGCCAGCTGGGAACTTCACTCCTTTGCTTTAGGTAGGCTGTGTCCTTTAAATTTTCATAATTAACCAATATCACGCGAGAGGGAGTGCTGTTGTGTTGAATATATGCATTTGTGTGATTCATATCATTAATACGTAAATAATCACACTAGTGCTGATATTTGGCACAACAGCACTCCCTCTCATGTGATATTGTTTTTATACAACCGTTCTAAGAGCAAATTTTCTTATTTAACAATAATAAACGACATAAGAGTACAATTTGTTAGTTTATTCAATCATTTATTTAGCTCCACCAACACAAATGGTTCCAACTAGAAAGCTGTTGCCAGGCAACACAAAAGTAACCCAACATAACTTTAGAACGCCTGATATTGTCTGTAAAATGTCCCAGTGTTGTTGTACTCCAATATCAGCACTCAAGGAATGTCTCTTGTCCAATCAAATTACTTGGTTAGAACTAACAGTTGTATAATTTAATTTAAATAGCCTACTTATTAATTAGCACAACACCATGAATTACCACATTATGTTTGCTTCTTAATGATTGCTCGTTGTTTACTGCTTGTGAACTTATTCTGATCTTTGTTTGACCGTTAGGTGTGATGAAAACAGAGGAGCAGACGCATGTGCCAGGCAGTTTCTTGACGTTGCTAATCAGTGGGGGGTAGCTGCCAAAACCAGCACTATTGGAACAGACAGCGCTCGTAATACGTTGGCAGCAGGGAGGATACTGCCATTCCAGCATTTGCCCTGCGTTGCACATGTTATTCAGAGAGCTATAGTAGTGTCACTTCGGGAAAGTGGTTTTGATGGCGTTCTGGTCAAGTGCCGTAAAGTGGTCGGACATTTCAAACACAGTCCAGCAAACTCAGACGAGCTGAATGCCAAGCAAGCCTCCCTTGGACAAGAACAGGAACAACTTGTGCAAGATG